CTCTCTCTCCTCCATTATCTTTTCTTTTATATTAAAACAACTTTCACATATGTTTTAATGTGTATACGTTTAAATGTTTAGTTTTATGTATATCAGTATATAATAGGTACTTGAGTAAAGATATATGTATGAATATTCGATCTTTACGAGGGTTGTCCAAAATGTTCGTAGACACTGACGTTTTTGTTAAAATAAAGGGTTCTATATCTATCTATCTATCGTATATTAAAATATTTCTAATGAAAAGCAGAGTCAGAATTTTTATTTTTATTGATTGAACTTAATATTTTTGAATAAAATCGGGGTCTTTAAAGGTCGCAGATAGTGCACACGGACCAGTCTGAAATTACACTAATTTCATTACAACGTCAATCATTTGGATTTAAAAATTTAACACATGCCCAGGGACAAACGCTACAGTTACCTTCTTTTTTATGGCGCCTCATGTCAAGTCAAGCAATAATCTTTAGGCTTAGATGATAATTTATATAATTTAAGAAAATCAAAACAATGCAGAGAAATTTACGAGCGTCATCAATATTAACTGCTTGTAAACACAAACTGCACATCCCCACACCGACGCTGCGCTAGATTTAAAACAACATCAAGAATAGAAGTCTCCATTTCAGCAAATTAAATGTGTTTTAAATTCTTGCAGTGTCTTCAAATTTGTACACACCGTTTAAAAATATTATATGTACCAATCTCAAATCAATAAACTAAATATATTTCAATAACTGAATTGTTTTAACCAATGGATTGTTTCTTACGTCTTTTTAACCGTATTAAAACATTTCCTTTGATTGGATGCTGCCCCGTACGGACGGCCGATGTCGTTTTTTTCTATTGAGTTTTGAAACATAGTTCTTGGGGGTTTTGTTTAGTATTTTCACGGTCAATATAGTAAGCGAAACTTAGGATATCAGATAATGATTTTAGCCTCTTTATTTTTGTTATATATAATTTTTTTTATATAACATTTTATCATTTTAATTCAAAAACTTTATACAAGAGTTTATGGAATTTTAACCTTAGTCCATGCGCACTATCTGCGATCTTTAAAGACCCCGAATTTTACAAAAATATAAATACAAATATAAATACAAAAAGTTCCATCAATAAAAAAATAAATCATTCTGACTTGTTTTTTCATAAGAAATATGTTGATATACAATAGAATTATATAGAACTATTTATTTTAACAAAATCGTCATTGTCCACGAACTTTTTTGGACAATCCTCTTTAGACTTACGATATATGATATATATGTGAGAGTTCAATTATCTATTTATATTTAAATTCTGGTTGAAACGCTGTATTTGAAAGGATTAAAATTACTTTAATTTATAACGTACATGTATCATATGGATTGGCAACGACACAATGGCTTGCTTCAAAAACGTATCAATCAATCAAGTCATTTAAGAGCAATCATTTTTTGTTCTTACACTAAATGCATGAAATTTAAATTATAGAGAATAAAGTTAATAGCTACCAATTTTATACGGTATAAACTGGGTTGGAACATTTTAGGCGATTTATGAAGACGTATAAAATGGATGGCTATCAAATTCATTCCTAAATTTAAAGAAAAAAATATATCTTTGGAAGTGAATATGAAAGAAAAAAAATCAAACATTTATTGTGTTCTCAATGTTTAACTTTGTTTAATTCCTTATTTCTATTTTATTCACAAGTTTGTTTAAATTACAGATTTTGGCTAGACTTTTTTAGACTTCAATTTGATTAAGAAAAAATGTCGACTTGATCATACATATGTTTATATTTAGGGACACTGAAATCACTCCATGGATAACAGCTGTAACTGTGTTATCCATATTTCTGCTCATCGTGATTGCTGCGTGTTTTTTCTGCTACAATGTTCGTAAACAATGTAAGTACAATGAAATAAGCAGTTTGTGTTTACATCCAATAAACTTGAAATGCACTGCAAGATCGGAGAGTAATTATTTTATCTAATAGATATTCATAATCATATAATCGAAATGTTTTCTTGTGAATTTATTATTTTTTCTTCAATTGAATGTTTTATTTAGGCATGCGAAGGAAAGGATCACGTCACTTAAATAGGAAACATCAGAAAGGTACTTATTTTCACACTATAGAGGCAGAAGCTTATGTATATTTATATGTGTGTGTGTGTGTGGATGTGGGTTTGTGAGGGTGTGTGTGAGGGAGGGTGTGTGTGTGTGTGTGTGAGGGTGTGGGTGGGTGGGTGGGTGGGTGGATGAGAGTGTGTGTATGTGTATGTACAAATCTTTGCTTGAAAAAGTTCAATCAAGGGTCTCTTTCCGTTTCTTGATGATTATTCGAATTTTAATGTGTTAAAAATTATTTATCAAACTGTGGAACATGTTACATCAATGTTTTGATACTTTTAATTGATGAATCATTCCGAAAAAAACGTGTTCTTCACAATTTCATTTGCTTGCGTTTCCAAGGAAACACTGAAGAAAATTACAGACTAATGGAGCAGGGGCATAAATGGCACCGGGACTTTTTACCATTTACTTTGTAAGTGTTTTCGTATTATTTTTTTTTATTTTCGGAGATATAATATTGGAAAAGGAATTAGTTTCTTCTCAAGTGCAAACCGTGATTGAAAATATTTTTAAAAATCTTCTTTGACGAGTGAAATAAATTCCAGTTTCAACAACAATGCATTGAATTTTCTGTGTACATTTTTGTGACTTTTCCGTTGCATCTGTCCTTTTGCACTACAGTCATGATGACGTCATAGTTGAGCGACTGAGACGTCATAGCTCAGTGTTGTGAGATTAAAACAGTGTAATCATAGATTTTAGTAACATATTTAGGGGAAATCTGGCAGTTTTTATCTCTGTCTGAGTGGTTTATTTACTCTTTTTTGATAACAGGCCAAGGAATATTTTTACAAGCTTCTCTGCTATGGAAAAAGAAATCTGGAGTTTTCCCGTTCTTCTGATATTTGTCATCTGTCAAAGTTAATTTTGTTATCTTTCCACACAGTGACAAAATGTTTTTTTATTCAATGTATAACAAGAGTTTTCTTGATCGATCCTACCATGAGCAGTGCTAGTATGTTTATGAAATACAATAACCTTTCGACATTACGTAATCGCGCCTTCTGGTTTACGTGTACTTATGTAAAAGCTTTGAACACACACGAAAAATATCATTTTGAAATATGTTAGGGCACAATAAATTTTAGCGTTCATGGTCTCTTGCACCAAAGGCGCTAAAATTAGTAATGCGCTAAATATTCTCGTTTACAGTATTTCATATTATGAATAACCTTCCCCTTTGACCTTGACCTAAATGTTAAGGTCAAAGGTCATTGAATCTTATGCAGTTGGCCCCAGGACTTAATGCATTGTCGTTTTAGAAAATATTTTAATATTAGTAAACAATGCAAACATCATTGGCAATTTAGATTGAAGAGTTTAATTATTTTGTCGTAGACATTGGTGAAGATTTTGAACCTCTGTGGTTTACGGTTTCGGTCTAGATATTTATGGGATAGTATGATATTCAATCTATTAAGTTTTTCTCGCAAAACCGGAAGTTGCCGTTTTGGTTTCCGGTGGGACTTATATATTTCGAAACAACAAATATGATGCATAATGGAATGCCAAGAAGGCTTCCAAAAAGAAAAGTTGAATTTTTTTTATTTTGATTACTAACTGTGACGACCAGAAGTGACTTCGGACAATCTTAACGCAAACAGATTTGCATACTCATTAAGATCTATCACTCCCATAAGTTTGGTGTTTTAATCTCTTACCGTTTTCGTCAGATCTCTCTATGATAACTTCTCATTTTGAGGACAGGAAATCACGTGACCTGAAAAGATATTTAGAAAGATATCTGACGTTACTCTTGACATTTGCATCTTAATAACATACTTAAAAATCATTTCAAAAAATTTATCTATAAAAATATTCATGGGAGAGAGAAAATTACTAAAGTTATGTAGTTTTTTCTCTTATAACCGGAAGTTGTCAATTTTGTTTCCGGTGGGACTGACATATTCAAAACTATAAATAAGATACTATGATATTTCAAAAAAGAAAAGTTTAAATTTTTGTTTTATTCGATCACTTCCTGTGACGACCAGAAGTGACGGCGGACAATTTAAACCCAAATGAATTGGCCTACTCATCAATATCTATTTCTTCTATGAGTTTGGTGTCTTAATCTCTTTCTGTTTCCGAGATCTCTCTATGATAACTTCTCATTTTGAGGACCGGAAATCATGCGACCGGAGGTAAATTAAAAAAAAAAAAAAGATCACGTTACTCTTGACATTTGCAGTCTGAATAATATATCTAAAAATCATTTCAAATACTCTATTTTTGTCATCTCGCCCAAGCAAAACTATTAGCTTCGTTTGATTAACAGCAAAGAGATAAACACAATTTGAATTGAAAAAGGTCATTTATTAACATAATGACGAAACTACTAATGCAGTATAATACTAATTGTAAGAAAAGTTAATAACACTCCATAAGCAAAATCAACTTAATGTACTTTGTAAAACTTTACAATATATACACTCAGAGGAACATCTGACTAGTTCAATGATTATTGCAAAATCAAAGGTGGGGACCAATAAAACAGCCAACACAAAACAAATTTCCAGGTTTGGGAGGGTGGCGGGTGAAAACATCAAATCGCTAATTTTCTACTACCGTAGAACTTCAGCTTCTGTTTACAAACTTTGTGACCTATTGCACTGCCACCTAGCGGTGATGTTCTATTCTTTTTATACTACGCAGGGAGATAACTCTCTCAATGCACAAAATACAGCTCATGCCAAAAATGCATTTCACCTAGCGGTGATGTTCTATTCTTTTTATACTACGCAGGGAGATAACTCTCTCAATGCACAAAATACAGCTCATGCCAAAAATGCATTTATTAACATAAATGTGATTTTTTGTCATCTCGCCCAAGCAAAACTATTAGCTTCATTTGATTAACAGCAAAGAGATAAACACAATTTGAATTGAAAAAGGTCATTTATTAACATAATGACGAAACTACTAATGCAGTATAATACTAATTGTAAGAAAAGTTAATAACACTCCATAAGCAAAATCAACTTAATGTACTTTGTAAAACTTTACAATATATACACTCTGAGGAACATCTGACTAGTTCAATGATTATTGCAAAATCAAAGGTGGGGACCAATAAAACAGCCAAAGTATTACTAATAAGTATGACTGATTAGTAATACCCCCCACCCAATAGTTTTGTGGGCAACAGGGCGAGATTAGCAAAATAAGAAAAATTTGACTAGAACACGCACAAGATACCAAATGACACAATATAAAACATGCTCTTTTCAAAAATAAGAAATTCGACAATCAACAATCAAAAACTAAACTTAATGATTTATATACATGTAACTTAATATTACTGTCATTGTCTTCATACTGTTTATTATTCTTATTAACCCATCTGAAATTACAAGTGCATTGGATGAAGCCCCTGTCTTCAATCCAACCTTGTAATTATTAAAAAATTTTACTTTGGATAAAGGCCCCTGACCTCATATCCAACATCATAATTAGTCAAACATGTACAGTGAAACTTGGCTCCTATCTTCATACCATGTTGAACCATTCTTCTACAAACATCATGTGTGTAACAACACTTTTGTTTTTTGCCTTTTAACTTCGAAACATTATACAATGTACCAATATATATATAAGCTAAAATTTTGTTCTTATATTCAACCAGACATTTTAAAAAGGGTTTGCCAACATATGCAATTTAGCAATATTTCTATTCAATAACTCAATGTGAAACTTTGGATAAAGGCCCCTGTCCTCATATCCAACTTGTACATATTCAGAAACAACATTTGTACATAAGTTCATGTACACTAAATAAATTTACAAATTCAGTATAAATTACCAGTTTTCTTAATGTAAAAGTCATCAATCTTTACGAAAAAGTTATTTACATTCTTGCCTAGTTTTTCATTAATCTAAGAATTGGTACAGAAGAAACAATGTAATCATTTACTAACTCGTATTTACTCTGCATTGTTTACCATAATAAAGCTTATTGTTATAGCTTTAATAAAGGAATTCGAATATATCTTCTGAACGCTTCTGATTTCCATCTTCCTAGTAGCTGAATCTGGTCATCAGAAACTCCTTTTGATTTAGCCCATGATGCAGCACCAATTCTAAAAGAATGACCTTTATAAATTTTCGTATCATAACCCAAAAATGTAAGAGAAATTTTCAACTGTTCATTGAACATATGGCGTGTAATAGGCGAATGATCCCTAAGCATGAAAAGAGGCCCATCCTCCTCACCTCTCACATGCAAATAATCAAACATTGCTAGCACTGCACAAGTTTCTGGTTTTTCAGTGTCTGCGGCAATTTGAAATGTCACAGGGGGCTTGCCTTGATGATGCTTGAAGTTTGTTAATGTTAATGTCATTTCTTTTGGTTTGGCATTTGGATATTTTTCCAATTGTATAGCTGCTAATGGTAGGACGGTAGAAGACTTGGTTGTGCTCGTGATTTCGCCAATGCGCAAGAATGCATGAAACGCTAGTAAAAACATTGCTTTAAACAAACATTTCTCATAAAATGAAGATGTACATAAATACAGAGAATTTACTAACTTTTGTAAGATAGACGGGGTGATAGGCATTCTGACATCTGCCCTGGATTTCAATTTTTGAAAACCCTGAATTGTTCGTTTTATCACAAAATTTTGCGTAGGGTCAACATGACCTTTCATTTTACTAAAATGTGCTAATGCAGACAAATATGTACAAACAGTTTGAGGTGCGAGACCTTTTTGATAACAATTTGATATAAACAACACTAAATGCTCTACATGAATAGGAAATGTTACTGTTCCAGGAAAATGGACTTCCAAGAATTCCTCATATGCCAGCTTTGCTCTTTGGTATGAATTACGTGTCCCATTTGTAAGAGCATTGTCCATCAAGAACTGTGACACCTCTTTTAGATTTTGTAGATTTCTGCAGGGACTTTCCACGGTGACTTGTCCATGTGTGGGGCTAGTTCTTGGAACTGTTGAATCTGCAATCGAGATAACTTGTCACTTAAAATGTTTTTGACTCCTGGCACATGTTTAGCATAAAATAGAATATTGAATTGTAAACACTGAACAATAAGACGACGCAATAATTTCATAATAAACTGGTCCTTAGCACTTTGTTTATTTATAACGTGCACCACTGCCATATTATCTGAAAAGAAACAGATTCTCTTATTTGCCATTTGATTTCCCCATAAATGAACAGACACAACAATTGGAAAAAGTTCTTTTACAGATATATGATGATCAGTCCATTCAGTCGTCCACTCTCCATAAAACCATTGTTTTCCAAACACCCCTCCATGTCCTAAGCCACTAGCATCAGTATACAATTGCAGTGTTTCTGATGTTTGAAGTTTATCCTCCAGAAAGAATGATGAACCATTAAAGTGTTCAATAAACAATGACCATGCCTCTAAATCTGCTCTTGCATCTTTTGTTATTCTTCGTCTATGGTGTGGCTTCTTTAATCCTTTGGTCAAATCAATAAGCCGGCGGAGGAATGTTCTTCCTGGTGTAACAACTGCACAGGCAAAATTTAATAACCCAATCAATGATTGAATTTCCTGTAACGTCATCTTTTTTCGACACTTTGCTTTTGAAATTTCCTGACGTATCTTAGAAAGCTTTTCTTTTGGGAGACGTATAAGCATGTTAACTGTATCCAATTCCAATCCAAGAAATGTGATAATGGTCGTTGGAAAAACTGTTTTATCTTGTTTCATTGGAACACCAATATGCTCAAATGTCTGAAGAAGTATGCATAATTGTTTCTCACAAACAGGATAGGAGGGTGGTCCTACCAATAAAAAATCATCCAACATGTGTACACATCCAGAAATCTTTAATTTGTTAGTTACGATCCAATGCAAAGCTGTTGAAAATTTTTCAAAAAGATTGCATGCAAAACTTAATCCCATGGGAAGTGTTTTATCAAAATATATGTCTTTCCCAATGGCAAACCCCAATAATTCATGGTCAGATGGGTGAATAGGAATATTTTTATAGCCATGTTCAATATCCGTTTTAGACAATAAAGCTCCCTTTCCAAATTGTTTAATCAATTTAACTGCATCATCAATAGTTTGATACGATACTGCTGAATGTTCTCTATCAATTCCATCATTAATTGATGATCCTTCAGGAAAGGAGAGGTGATGAATAACCCTATACTCCCCAGGTTTCTGTTTAGGGACTAGACCCAATGGAGAAATTTGTAATGCTTCAAATGGAATATTATCAATGTGAAAAGGGCCTCCGACCCTATTTGTGTCAATTTCTTTTTGAATTTTTTCCTGCAAAATTTCCAAGTTTTCTCGAGCTGACTTGAGATTATCACTATAACGAAAGGTTCTATTGCCATTAAATGGAATGCGAAATCCAAACGTAAACCCATCAACCAAATACTGTAGTTTGCTTTCTTCATAACCTTCTAGCCATAAATTCAACACTTCAACTTTTATTGGCGTGACTACATCTTGATCCTTATTTCTTAGTCTTGGTTGCTGCTTGGATGACCGTGCTTCCGCTTGCTTGCAAGGATTTAACTGAGCTTGGTTTGCTTTCACTTGAGAAGGTACATATTCTTTTGTGGTGTTGTCCTTGGCATCTAAGGCATACATGGGGGAACTCACAGTTTGGTCTGAGACATTTCCCTGCATTGTTGTTGAAGCTGAAACAGGGGCCTTTCTCCAGTGATTTGGCACGAAAGGGCTGTTGTTTGTTTCCGGACTGCTGAAAATAGGAGTTGTTAGATTTTGATGATTTCTCCAAAGTCTGAATTTTGGTTTTTAGGCCAAGTTGCAGTGCCTCAGCATGGAGTTCCTGGTTGATCTGCTGCCAGGGCATAAAGGTTGGGTTATCAGCTCTCCATAGCCGAAATTGCTCGTCATAATGCAACGCAGCCTTTTCTCCAACATCTGCATTCAATTTCTGGACGATTGCCATGTACTTCATCATGTTTGAAGACTGATTAGGAAATTTCTCACAGTAAATAGACACAAAAATGTGAAAAGCATTTATCCATTGCGTAATTGATTTTATGTAAAACTTTTGTTCTTTATGTTGAAAGGTTATCTCATTATTTTCCCCTTGTACTGCCTCCAATTTTGAATAAGGGTTTTTGAGCAAAAGCGCACCAAGTTGAACATATTCTTCTGCCCAAATTTTTGCCTTTAATTTCTTATCCACACTTTGTCCCAAGGGACGACCTGAATGTAAAGGACCAGTTGTGTTTAATGTGTTACCTTGTGCACTGGTAGTCAACGGTTGACTTGGTAAGACTTCTACAGTGCTAGTACTTTGTTGAGTAGATTCCTCTTGATGGACTGTTGCTTCCACATTTATTGTTTGATGTCCATCAACGCTGCTTACGCTGGTAGGTCCTTGCTCTGTTTGTGGTTGAGACATCTCTCCTTTTAATTTCTGCGTAACCATTTCGACAATGTTCGGCACCATAGTTTGAAGCATTTGTGACATCAGGTCTGAAACTTCCTGTCTAGTCGTATCGTCTAGCCTCCTTCTCTTTCGTGATGGCTGCGGCATCTTGATAGCTAAAATGAATAATTCTTTATTACAGTACCTGTACTAACGTACTTTAAGATATTTAGCATTGACTAACATCAAATGCAAAAAAGAACTTGCAATTACCATTGCCAATTCCATTAAGGAGATTCTTAAGAAACTCTCATCCTTAACAGGATGCATTTAATTCATTATTGCATGTAATGTTCCTTAACAGGTCACGCATATAATAAATAAATTTAGAATTCCTTAACAGGAATACAATTGCATCTAATACCGATTACTTTCATCCTCTGCCGGAGAAATAAAGTCACTTGATTGATTGTTAAAATTCCTTAACAGGAATGATTTTTCAACCTTATCAGGATAAGTACGCAACCATTGTTACAAAATCCTTAACAGGATTTAGTTCCCAAACAGGTTTCAATTTTCAAAATTGACAGCATAACTCAGCACAACTTACCATAATATTAAAGGTTATTCCTGATATTTCTTATTGATAACCGAGAGGCCAACAGTTAAACAAATAATGTAACAGGATTAACACCACTGTCAGTACCTTCAAATATTCCTTCAAATTCTGGTCTTTGATTGATCAATACCAAAACTGTTATAGGCGTGTACTGCTACTTAATCTGTAAAACATGTCTTCATGCATTAAAATTTTTCATCATACAAATTTATAGGCAACAAAAATTACCATATTGATTTGAAATCTTGAGTGCAATGTGTCACAAATATAATTAACATTTACATAAAAATACACATGCATTATAATATATATACAAGTATTATAATTATTAATAATATTCATCTGCTCACTATACTAACGTCAGAGTATGCAGAATTGCACCTCGAATGTTCCTATAATATTTAGGATAGCCAACAGTTTCGTTTAAATGCACACCATCCTGTTTGTATATCTCAATCTGACTGTTTTTTTAATCCTTTTAAAATCCAGTACTTTAAGTTCGAATATTTGGACAATTCCTTCTTCAGGATTTTGTTAGCAGCAATCACAAAACTGTTGTAATCACGAACTGTTAAATGTCTTGTTTTTTGACGGAATAATAATTGACACACTATTATTTCCAGAGAATATCTGTTTGCCAATAAGTTCAAAATTGCCACATATCGCAAAATTATTGTATTTACTTCATCAAGTGTCACATCTTTCGAGTCTATATCATTCCCACCCAAGTGTACCACAACACCTTTCGGTTTATGCGTCTTTATAAAAACTTCGATTCTTTCAATATGTCGTGAATTTTTTATACATCCTCCTGGTATTCCATAACACAAGACGTCGCAGTCTGCTATATCAAATTTTTTATCACAATACGAAATGAAAGTTGATAATCTTTGCACGTGTGAATCACCTACGACCAAAACATCTGGCATGGCGCTTCCCTTACATATTGACCAATCAGCATCGAGGATAATTTTAGCACAGACACTGAGACAGAAAACTTACTTTCCTACCAAAAACACTGAATTAAAAACGCCCAGAAAGAACACGGTCTTTCATGAATAGAATTGTTTGTTCTTTTCCTAAATAGTCTACCTACATGCATTATTTACTGGTTCCATTGGAGCAAGAATGCTGTTCATGGAGCAAGTCTGTTGATGGCCAGTCCGCGCCAATCTCCACCGTTCACAGCTCAACCCACGCTATCCGTTTTTTAGACCTGGCTGGACACAAACGATGGATTAAAACCCCTCAGTACATCTAACGAATCAGCACATAAACTAGATAAACCACTCACGTGGATGAAAACATTAAATCGCTAATTTTCTACTACCGTAGAACTTCAGCTTCTGTTTACAAACTTTGTGACCTATTGCACTGCCACCTAGCGGTGATGTTCTATTCTTTTTATACTACGCAGGGAGATAACTCTCTCAATGCACAAAATACAGCTCATGCCAAAAATGCATTTCACCTAGCGGTGATGTTCTATTCTTTTTATACTACGCAGGGAGATAACTCTCTCAATGCACAAAATACAGCTCTTGCCAAAAATGCATTTATTAGCAAAAAAGATTCCAAAAAAAGTTAAAATTTTCAATATTTATGATCACTTTCTGTGACGACCGGAAGTAACGGTGAACAATCTTAACCCAAATGGATTTTCGTTCTTATAAAGATCTATCATCACTGTAAGTATGCTGTCTTAATTTTTTTTCGTTTCTGAGATCTCAGTCGGATAAAATATTTTTGAAATCGGAAATATCTGACGGCCGCAAGTGAATTTAAAAAAAAAGGAAAAAAATACTCGGGCTATTTTTATTCTCTGTCATCCCTGAAAATTTCAGGAAAATCCGTCAAGCCATCTCTGAGAAATCTTGCCGACAAGATTCGGAGAAAAATAATAATAAGAAAAAAAACAGTAGAATTACTATAAGATCTTCTGTCTGAAACGGGAGACCTTGATAAGCGTGATCTAAAATTGAGTCATATTTTGGAAGGTACATTGTATTTATCAATACATCGTATCTTATTAAATTGATAACGTGTATGTCAAATAATCCACGGTCATGCATATTTATACATTAACAGGTTCGGAACACGTCCCCTTTAGCGAGACCATTGCTAAAGCGCGATTATCCCTCTTTACCGGAAGAAAAGCATTACCATAAACGGGTATTTTGTTGTTTTCATTATAAAATAATCAAAAATCTCGTGCGTATCGAAAATCCGGGAGAAAGCTGCACTGAAGCGTGAATTTACTATAAAAAACTGACAATATTGGCTAGTAATTTAAGACAATCACTGCTGCGTGTGAGAATAAGAGTCTGAAATCAACGTGTAAATCGTGCCTTTTTTTGGCGAAGGTTTCAAGATTTACAGTCATATATGTTTTTTTTAAGCATATGAAATATGTATCCCCATTCCCATTCTTGTACAAACGTTAAAAATAATGATCTTCAGAAATCCATATTTGCTAAAATATTTTATCTTTGGTTGAAGCTAAGAAGTATGAAATCACAACAGGGTTGTAACGTTCCTGGAGAATTTATATTAAAAAAAACAAGTATAAATTGAGATGTGTATATAGAATATTGATAAACCATTAATTATTTTAATAGAATATTGAAAACAAATTAACAAAAAAGGTCTATATTGAGTCTAACTAATATTGACCTAGTACAAATGTTGATACATGGTAAACTTGTAAATTCAGGAAAACAGGATTCACCTGTGTCGTTAAACGGGAAAAAGTTCAAAGTGAAAAGAATTCAACCTGAAAAAAAACTTGACAAAAAAAGAGGAGAATTTGACCTTTGTCCAAACCTGAAAATCCTATTTCGTGCGGGTAGAGGGGGTGTAAGTTAGAACTTTTTTCAGTTACCATTTACCCTTCTTTTCATTAACACCGAAACATGCCTGTTGAAAGTGAAAAACATGTAACCTTGAATTACTTTTCATAACTATACGAAATAAGAGGGGGAAAAATGCGAAATTGTTAAAATTACTACTTTTAATCACCTGTGGTCATCCGTAGGAGGACTACGCTATAGTTCATAAACATTTTATAATTTCCATGATTTGCAGCAATAGAGGCAATATTTTGGAGCAAATTTATTGAGATGAGACACTAAATATTCATCGAATGGGTTGACATACCTCCGGATTTTCCTTTTTCTGAAGTTAACACGATTACAGTTTGAATCGGAGTACAAATCTAGGTTTTCTTAGATGTATTTTCTCCCGCTAGAGAGGGATAATTGCGATTTAGCGAGATGATCTCGCTAAAGGGGAAGTGCCCAAGCCTGAGTAACGCACTAACATCACAAGCACAGCCCCTCGAAAATCTCATAAACTAAACGATATCCGTTTAATTATGAATTATATATTTTATACACATTTAGGTATTACCCCTACTATTTGAATATATGTAATGTGAGCAAGTTGTGCGCTGTTGGTTTTTTTCCTGTAATTTTACATTATTTCAATGCATATAGTATAAATGCGCGAGATTTTTCAAAAGACACCTAAATTTTATATAACTCCCAGGCATGGGGAAGTTGCTTCCAGCATTTTTCGAGTTAAGGAATTTTTCTTGAAAAAAAAAACGCAATCAATTTCATTGTAAAACAATTATCCGTACATCGTTAAACTTTTAAGGTATTTGTATCCGTTATATGTTTCTTTTTCTAATTTTAAACGTGTCACGTGACAACAGCTGATGTAAGTCGCTTTGGCCAAACTCGGAAGAGACCCCATGCATACATGCGCATTAGTACATTTCCCATTAAATTAACACTAATGCTAATAAAAAAGATGTCAACATTATATTGATCTAATTATAGCATTAAATTTTGACATCACAAATATTGCAATGTTTTACGCTATGGCGTCTTAGTTTCTACAGCAGCGATGTATTGTAGATTCCTTATTTTTCGCGAGTACTTTTTATAGCGAATGCGAATGATTTCAGCACCATAAAAATAAAGGCGAGTATTCTAATTTCGCCTTTAAACCATGGTTTAAGATTGCGTTCGTGCTGTACTTAATAAATGTTTCAAACGAGATTGTCGTATAAAAAATGTATTGATTTGAAAGTTGTTTGGTAGCTTTATATAGACAAACTAAACACAATGTTCTATCGTTAAAATGGTAAATACTTTTAGAATTCTTGTTCATCCTGCCACCTCTTTAATCGGCAACTTACTACGACAAAAACTATGATAAATACAGAAGACGGTCATAATCATTTACAATAGATCTGAAAGAAACCGTATTTGCATTTTGGATTTTTACGTTGTTTTTCCTTTCACTGGAACATGCTGATGCCATTTCCCTACTTTTTTTTGCTTGTTTATTTCTGTCTCAAAGTGCGTAAAATTTTTCAAAGTGCGTTAAATTTTGGACACACTCAACGCACTTTGAAAAATTTTTTCAAAGTGCGTTAAGAATGCACATAAACATTTTTTACCATGGAGGCATTTAACGCACTTTGAAAAAAAGATATGTATGAAAATAAAAATTCTAGACTTAGATTTTAGTGATGGAGGAAATCAAATTGTAATACTTATATCTTTCGAAAAACTTTTTTTAAATTTACATGAACTCATTTAACCTCATTGAGAACAAGGAGAAGACGAGTAGAAGGTTTCTCATCCAAACTCTTTTTTTCTTAAACATTGTACATAGCCGTCGGTAGCAAATTGAAAGTTGACCCACAGGTAAGCCCCAATTTTTAATGCATACATGTATATATTATGTATATCTTTGCAAAATATTTATTTGCCTACATGTAACCCCCCTTTCCGGTACTGATGCCTATGCTACACTCAAATATATGTGTTTACATAACTGGTATGACGTTGAAAACTTTCAATAAATTTATGTTTACATAAAATGCATGCAAACTTGAAAAAAATTAAGTACAGTAAAGCATTTAAGCGAGAAAGAATTTTCAAAGTATGGAAAAATCTAAATCGCTCACTTTCACATCCTGAAGTGACCTCTTCACAGAAGAATTATCAAACAGGTTCAATTATTTATCATACCTAAGATTTGCAGGAATTGACAAATCCATACACAGTTTTTCAAAGTGCGTTAATATGGTCCATATGAACGCACTTTGAAAAGAAGTTTTATTTTTTCAAAGTGCGTTGACTTGGTCCCAAAATTTAAGGCACTTTGAAAAAAATTTTCAAAGTGCGTAATTTTTCAAAGTGCGTTGTAACATGCCCGGCTTTGACATCTTTTCGCGCACAATCACATTTCCCCAATCGACTGGTCACTGTTAAGCCCATGCTTTTCTCGTTTAACATCTGTAGGTCCTATTGGATAATAGGGTTCGAAATGCCGGAAATAATTTCTATCTACTGAGATTTGCCTTGTTGGAAAAGATTGGACAATAGGACCTATCCCTGTTTAAAGGATAACCATAGATGAACTCTAGGCAAAGGAGAATCAAGACTGTGAGGAATGCGCGAATGGGACATTAAATATAATGAGAGTTTTCATAATTTTTTTCATTTTAAGGGGGTATTCTCATATGAGTCTTAATTAAGGAATACATGCAACTGTATTATTTTTCGATTTTATGATGTGAACAATCGATTGGCTTGCGTGAATAAAACGCAGGCCAATCGATTGATCATCGTCATAAAATCGAAAAATCTGACTGTTATTCCTTACATTTACCTCCTCTTGATTTCGCCAATCCTCGTGCTACAAGCCCTGCTTCTGTCTAGCTATTTGTTTCCCCCTGCACGTGTTTTTTTTTTTAACCGCGCCTATTAATATTGATGAACCCGTGCATTTATGTAGAAATAAAGTAAATTAACTATCTATAATTTTTTCTCGGACAAATGTAAATATTTATTCATGAATTATAACGTACAACTTCGAATGAAATTTTGGTTACATTTTTGTTTAATATGATCATAAACGTTCGATACGAATATTAAAAAATACATGAGGAAAAATGAAATTATTTCAACTCAAAAGTTTTCTCTGCTTTTCTTTTTCCTTACAATATATATAGATAAAAAGTAAAATAAGAAAAAATGGTGTAAAAGTGTATTAACATTTTTTATCATTAGAAGTTATAGTAAGTGTGCTTTATTCAAGTATAATTTAGGTATGATTCTCAGGTAGAGGAATCATGGACAGGACCCAGTCACTTAAAAGTCATACCCGTGTTTGAAATAATACTACATATACGGGTATGAATATTTGAATAAACGGTTTAATCTATGTTAATTTGTTGATTTTTCATATTTGATACATTGTTTATAAGTACTAGAAGAATAATTCATAAGGGAAAAAAAACTAAAAGAATATTTTGACCAGGGGTGTGTATCGCGGGTAAGGGGAGGGGGTGGTCTGTCCATAAGTTCCTGGTATTATTGGCTTTTTTCTGTCCCCTTTATCATTAAGAAAAAAAACACTACTTAAATTAATTTTAAAAATAAACATTTGGACATTCGAAATAAGCTTATAGACACCTACACTGTTACCAATATTTTATCATACATGTTCTAAAAGTAATAGATAA